TTCTAGAGATGATATTAAAATATTAACACCTGTACTTACAGCTAGGTCACTGGCAAGATTTCTACTGAATTATCGTGTATCATGTAAAGAGCATAAACTGATTTACTTAATATCACTTTCAAGAGTTTGGGCTTTCTACCTCGATCACTTCTATTATCAACAGTATTTACTAGTTTCACACACTCTAAATATTGCCTCTAACGAAACATGAAATTTCGCTTCAATCTGTCGTATGGAACAGCCTTCATCAGCCAAAACTTTGATTTACGTTTGCATTAGCACACTACTGCTGGGAATAATATGACTGCCTGTAATTTTATAGACATTATATTGGTGTAGAACTGTCTGATTGACTGGATAACAGCCAATTATAGTGTAAGCTATCAAAAGATGACTGTACTCTGGTGCAGTATTTTCATACAACAGTAAGAGAACAATCCCGCAGTATTTGCATTTTGTACTCATTCACTGTTTCTATAAGTATTTTTAACAGTTTATACATAATAATAATGATATAACGTGCGTTTATAAACGATAAGATCTTTAAATACGTATATACATTAAACTTTTGGTGTCTATAAGGTTGTTTGTCGAAGAATTCGGTATATCGACCAAACGATCGTAGTGAATATATGTATACTGCGGGCTACTGGCTGTATACTTCTGTATACTTTTGACTGTCAAAAATCACAAAAATGCTGAGTTTTAAGGTGGAAGGACGTTCTGATCGAACAATTTATAAACTTCCATAATAACCCGGCGAACACAAATACATTTACCTTCTTAAACTAACAAAAATTACCTTACAGGACTCTTTGTTTACCATAAAATTATTAGTTACCATAACGTTCTTCAGTCTATTCTAAAGAATAAGAACTTAAAAGTACTTGTCTCATTTCTACCACTTCCAAAACACGATATCTAATAAGATTATTTATAAGTACGGAGATGCTTATTAATTGAACATTAGTATACAAATGCTAAAGACAGTTTTATGTTAATCGCTGAATCATTTCTTAAAAATTATGGACCATGGGTAGTTAAGAATGACATACTTTACTTTATCTAGGCTTAACTGACAATCTACCCTCGAAATAATAACTTTCAAAATGAAAAAACAGACATTTATGAAATTAAATATTTTCACATTTGTACACACACTAAAAATATACTATAAGTATTGAATCGTAAAACAACTGCAATAAACAGTTATGACATCTTCGTATGTCATTACATCACCGATTCTAGAAACAATAAATTAGCGCCATCTATCAATATAACCAAACTATGCTTTCCAGATTCCGTGCCACAAATTTTTTTAAAAATATTAACAGTAAAGAAATAATTAAAATTGCTTAAGTCCACTTTACCTTTAAATGTTTTTATGGGAATTAGATCTGTCACATTGTCTTGTGAAGAGAAGAAAAAAATAGTATGGAAAAAATATCAAACTTATCTTCTGTTTGTGCTTTTTGAATCATTTATTGTCCTTTAAATATTTAAAACAATTTTTTCCTAAATACATGTTAAATTATTTCATTAATAGAAATAATAACAAAAAATGGTTTGTAATAATGACTACACGCTGAAATTCGGCATGATTAATTTTCCAATACACAATTACTGTGCTTCTCAGTGTTCAATAGCATTTACTTTTAATATATACTTGTCTTATTTAAATACCGTATAATTGCTAACTATCAAAGTTGTTTTTTTTAATACACCATTTATGCAAGCATAATAAATAAACTCTGCACTAGTAAATAATTAACTATAACGTATGTTGAAACACACCCAACACATACCGTTCTGTTTTCGTAAGGGAAAGAAATTCTGAGAAATAAATAAAAAAAAAGGGAGGTAACTTTGAATTCTTTTAGTCATAGAACCAAGATTCCATTTCTGTCTCTAATAACAATGTCGTTGAAAAAAATAAAATAAAAACATTTAAGTTGTGAGATTTTGGTCTTAATTTTGAATTTTTATGAGAGTGGTGAAACAAGAAAACACACCTCGTTATCTTTATTACTTCATTATATCATTTCCTTCAAGTAAATTTAATTTTCAAAATTTATATCAAACCTTTCAAATCAAAAGCTAAGCTAAAACAATTATTATATAAAGTTTGTGGTATCAACACATCCGCGGTGCAATTAAGATTCCTCGTGAACATAAAAGCTCATAGTTACTAGTGCTACACGCACACACACCAACCAGTTTTGAAAACATTGTATAGGTGTTACTAAGTTTCTGAATGATGTAATAGCCGTTTGGTTTCGTTTGTTTTAAATTTATGCTCTAGCTGTCCCTAATTTAGCAGTGAAAGACAAAGGGGAGGGGGTCATCACCACCCACTACCAACTCTTAGGCTACTCTTTTACCAACGAATAGTCACTTATAACACCCCCACAGGTGAGACGGAGATTCGAACCCGCGGCCCCTGGATTGCGAGTCAAGCACCCTAACCACCCGCCATGCCAGGCCATTATCCTTTTATTTTACATATAATTTCAAAAATAACATTGTAAGAAAATGAAATGAAGCTTATGGGTCACTCCATTTTATAATTTATACAATGCAAAGAAAAATCCTCGAAACAATTGTCAATCCTTAAAACAAACAAAATTTAGCCTAACATCATAGTCTTCTTTACATGATAAAAAACCACAAACAGTCACATTGTTCATATTTTTAATTCCGTCTAAATTTAAAAAAAATCATTTATCACAATTTACGAATGACATCAAGTGAGTTCATTTATTTTATTCATGCGTTAAGTATATACGAAAATCTAATTTTTAACTTTTGTAGCCCACTAGCTAAAAGAAGACACCTTAAATATTGTGATGCTTGAAACGAGTTGTATCAAAGTTTCATTAAAAGGTCTCTACATCTATGGCGCATCACAACAATAGTAATCATTTCGGAAAATACAATTCAAATATTTGCCAGAAAAGAAAGCTTGAATAATTCTTAAAATGAAAAAGTAACTGAAGAAGTAAACTTCACTAACCATTCCATTAAATTAAATTAATGTATGTAAAAAAATCACATTCTCATGATATAAAATACAAGTAAAAAGTTTTATACTATTCATTATAATGACTGAAATTCTTGATCAACAGGTTATTTTTCTACAAATATTGAAGTTTTTTTCAAATATAAGAAAAGCATGCCTTCAGTTATATTCACTGTTATTTGACTTTAGCAATATAAAAGGTTAAAATCTCAGTTTTCTTAATTTTTGAAATAATGTATTTGTCAATAAAGTAAGAAAATGTAAGCATGCTGCCTGCTAACCTAGGGAAAATATTTTGGGCTACAATCTTTTTATCAATGAAAAAAAATAATGAAGAGAAACAAAATGTAAGATATCAGATGTAAAGATTTACAGTCTGGAAAACTTTAAAACTTCATGTAAGGATAAGTAAATAAATCCACACACCTTAATATTGGTTAATGGCCATAGTGACAAGTATCAGTTTTATAAACAGAAGTTTTGGAATTAAGTGCAAGATACTAAAAAAAGTAATTGGACAAATATTTGAATCTGATAAGTCACATTCACTGTCCAATAACATGGCACATCAGTAGTGTATATCTGAAGTACTAAATGTGTTTATATATGTACTTATAATAATGATAAAGATATAATGAGTAGAAAGTCAAGTTAATTGTAGCAATGTAGTTACACTGACTAAAAAGTTTCTGGAAGAACACTGTACAATCAAACCTTCAAACAAGTCTAGCAGAGAGAGAAGAAAACATAACAATTCTACATAAAAATTAGCTCAAACACAGAACTTAGAGAGAAATTTGAAGATACTAGGAACAGAGTGAAGCAATTTATAATAACATGGATGCATAAGCATGACATAAGGAAAGAAGTACAAGTGGGTCAACCAAAGACGACTAAGCTTAAGTGCACAAGTGGGGTTCAAATTGAACTTTCCACAACCTTTCAAAGAATGCCATTCAACATGGTATTATATATTTCATGTCAAAATTATCAACTATTCATGACCTTTTTTTCAAAGTGTCTCAATGATGATTTTATTGTAGCGAATAATTTTCTGTTAATTTATGTAATTGTATTTAGTCATTTGTAGTTTCCTACTAATAAAATTATTAGAAACAGAAGTATTATTTTAAGTTATATGATAATTTTTAAACATATAACAGATATCTTGACAAATAATATAGAATCATTAACTGTAGGTAACAAAATTAAACTGTTTACTAAATAGTCACAGACATGCTGTCTCAGAGGTTTTCTACATTATCCCTAAGTTTGCTAACATGAGTATCCTCTTTGCCATGGTACACAACATGGCAAAGAGGTATTAAGCCCATGGAAATTTTCTTTGTTTCATGTTAAGAGCATTAATACCATCTATAAACAATAATTCTAAAACTATAAACATTAGAAGTTTTCAATTGCTTGTTTCTTTATTCCTAAGCCTTTAATAACATAAGTTTATCTCAATTCAAACAATCACAGCTGTATCTTAGGAAGAGAGAGAGAGAAAAGCATATCAATTACCACCCATTAAGTAATACTATATCAAGCTTATTTATGGTACAGGAAAATTTTGATACTGATACATTTACTGATACAAAAAGCATGAATGAAGATGACATATTTAAATTTTAACATAATTAATACAGCTGTGCAATATCATAAAAATAATACACTGTGTACAACACAATACATTTGAACTTTGAGGTACTAAAAAAAACCTTTTGACAGCAGCTGAGAATCCAATGTGTTTTTTCTACAAAGACTTAACCTAGTCTTAATTTCATACTCAGTTACAATTCTTATGTCATAAAGATGCAGAGATTGAATATTTTTAATAACAACATTACACTTCAAAAACATAATACTACAAGTGTTAAAGATACATTTCCCTTCTACAAGCTTGTGTCCATTGCAGATAAAACACACAACAACACAATTTACCCACATGAAGTCTTTAGAGCAAATGGTGTATTCCTACCTGAGATTCTAAATCTCTTTTTAACTGATCTCTCCAGGCTCTGGCATCTTGCTCTTCTTCTTTCGATCTTTTGGTAGCTAATTCTATTTCTTTCACCAACTGCTCTCTTTCTTTCAATTTCTCCTGTTGTTGCTTTAAATTTTGTTCCAACTTTTCTTCCATCTGAGCTTTAATACCAAATAATACCTAAAGACAAAGAAATTCAAATGTTTCATTAAACAATATAACACAATAATGAGGGCAACAGTACATAAACAAACAGATGATACAAAAAAATACAGTGTATAATATTATTATCACAATACAACACCTTTCAGACAACAAAATTCATATTCTCAGCAACAAAAATTTAGCTACTTTCAGAATGTGCCAACTTTTGCAAGCTAATGGTAGCAAAAATCATGTGTGTACGTGTGTGCTTATAACATCAGACTCGGGAAGTGTGTTTAGGAATGTAAAGGCATTAAATATGCTCCTCAATCTGATATAAAATTATTTATTTGGTATTAAATTTCAATTATAAAAAATGATATTAAAATATCCTATGAATTTGAATCATTAACACTTACAACATGCACAAGAGGAATGGGATCACATTACACCCTTCTTATTGAAAACCTCTCCTGAAATGTTAAAAATTATATCCAATTATATATGTTTCCTCAAATTTTTTTGGGCTATAATGTTTCTTGCTTTTCTAGATTTGGTTTTAAAAAATGTTTATACAACATAGCTGTTATAAATAATGTTTTATAACAATAAACTTTAGTAATAAGCTTCAGAATTGTGAGAAAAACCTTGGAAACCTACAACAGATAAAAGGTAGTTGAAACAGTAATATATCCCTATATTTGCTGGAAACTTGTGCTAGGCCAATTACAAACTGTTATACATTGACAGTTTTATTCTAATTTCACTATAATTCAATTTTTTATTTAGAACTGTTTGCATATTTGATCATATACTACACTTACATAAGCAGAAAGTTTAGTTTGTTTTGTTGAATTTTGCACAAAGCTACTTGAGGTATATCTGCTCTAGCCATCCTTAACTTTGAAGTATTAGACTAGAGGATGGCATCTAATAAACATCATCTGCTCTTGGGTTATTCCTGTCAGACTAAATAGCAGAATTTAACCATCATTCTTATATTGTACTCATAACCCCCAAGTATGGAGTGTGATTCTGTTCTTTTTTTGTGATAATAGGGAACAAACCATGAAACCTCGAATCCACAGTCTATCACACTAACCACTGAGCCATACTCAGCCCACGGTAAAAGGAAAAATATAATAAAGACATCTAAGTACACACATGTAGTTTCATATCTAACATGTCTTGTATTATTCACCAACGTTGTCCTAGTACCAATATTTATTGTAGATTTAGTTACCTCATTTAATAGCTTTTCACGTGCTAGTCTCTCTTTTTCCCATTCTGCCTCTCTTTTTTGCCACACTCTTTCTGCTTCTTCTCTGTAGAAAAATTTTTTAAAAAGTTACAAAATTATTAAAAATTTGTACAGCTCTTTAGTAGCATTTTTGTGACCTCCAAATAAAAAATGAAACATCTGATATAGCAATAACATTTCCTTTGTCTTAATAGTTATTCTGATTTATTTATAAATTTAACCAGATTTCATATTATTAATGGTAAGTTTGCATAACACTTTTATTTATCAAAATAATAAATTTAATGATTTTTTCCTCAGATTTTATGGTTTTATCTTTCAAAATTTATATGCGAAGTTCCTCCTAACCACAACTTAAACATTATTGTGGCTTAATCACTAAGCTTTCCATAAAACTCATTTTTTAAATTATATGAGCATACTTAGTTAAATCAATGTCCAAACTATTTTTTCAATAAAAAAAAATTACCAAAGTTTACACAAGTTTAAATTCTAAAAAGGCAAAATTATGACACCTTCTAATCTGTACTCTTAAATTGTTATGCATATAGATTAAACATGTTATGCTAACTGAAGTTCCTTTTTCTTGTAATTGTGTGGTGATACCGATAATACTCATATCATTAAAATTCTTATTTTTGAAAAAAAAACATGTATATGGTTAGATCAAATTTTCTTTCTTGCTGTTTCCTCCTGACTAAATCATAAATTATATCACAAAAATGTTTGAAAAACTTGTTCTTTAATATCTGTTTTCTTAATATGGCATAAATTAATTCTACATTAGATAAACTAACAACTTTATAAAGTTTTAAGCTGGAGGGGGGGGGGGCACACATAAGAGCCTTTAAATATTTGCACTGAACAAAGTTAGCAACCAAAGCATTTCACTGTATTAACAGTTTAATCTACAAAAAATTATCAAACTCTTTTTGAATATTCCTACCTCAGGCATTCCAGCACCTTCTGACAAAAATTTAGGATTTATTGTTAATTATTTTTGGGATAAAGTTTGGAAACTTAGGGACATTTTTGTAAGGTATTTTTTACAAACAACTAAATTACAAATGTACCTTTTTGAAACAAATAGCAATAAATAAACTTACAATTATTTTGTTTTCTTATTAATTGTTTTTTGCTCTGAATCCTAGTCTTCAGCATTGGTTACAACTACATACTTTATACTTGAAAAACAAAAATGGTTTGAATCAGTTTATTTTTTAAGTTCTATTACCTCAAATTTATAAAAGCTAAACTTATACTGCTTTTGCCATAACAATTAAAAGCTTTATCTTTCATAAGGGCTGTAAAATGACTTCTAATGGAGCTGTCTAGCCAGTTATTTATAGGAGCAAATTACTAGAGTACATTTTAACTGAGTACTTATAAACTCTAATTCAAATAAAATAGCTAATATCTCATCTAGGAATAAACACAAACCATAACTGACAGTAGAAAGCTTCAATTGGTTTAAATAGTAAATCCTAATCGAATCTATAGCATGTGTTTGATATTTTAAGCAGTAAAGCTTATTGTTGAAAGAATTATATTGTTAAAACAATAAACTGCTGCCTGTAGTAAACAAAAGTTCTAAGTCACAGATTGAAATAACAAAAGTTAAGATGAAAAAATAAAATAATTATAATTATAGGCACCATTCTTCATTCCTATTCATCTATGGTTGTAGTTGCTTGATGAGAAGAGCTTCTTTAAGTTTTCTGATAGAGTATTTGGTGGCTTTGTATAGAGAATAATGGATTCATGCCCGAAGTTATTTGTCCATGATTAGTTAAAAAAAGGATCTGCAGTTGCACATGTTGTAGTTTATAGTCAATATGTTCTCCTATCCTTATGTGTAGGGTTCTTCTGGTTTCACCAATATATGTGTGATGGCAGATATTACATGTAAGTTGATAAACAATGTTGGAGGCCATTGTATCTTTGGAAAACTGTCTATTTTTCTTCTTGTTTTATCTGTGCAATGCTAATTTCTGCATGTCATAGTTCTTGAAAATTTGCTTGATATAAAAAGGTAGATTTTCATAGTTCAAAAGAAGAGATTTCTTGTTTTTTCACTATGGTTATGATTGATTTTTTTTAATTCTTCAATAATTGCACTTCCTTGGAATCTTTTGGATGATGGGAATTCAAATTAAGTATTAGACATTTTTAAACTGGTTTGTGAAAAAAAGTAGATTGTATATTACTGTCACTATTGATTGTTAAGTTAATGTCAAGAAAATCTACAGTTCTGCTGTTATTCAAATGATAAGGGGGAAATGGAATGTGGGGTATGGAAGTTAAAAAGTGTAGACATCTAAAAGAAGAGAGGCTATGCTTCCATAGTCTAAACACCTGATTGATGTATCTAAGCCAGAGATCAAGGCCAGCATTGGTATCTTGTCAAGTGCCATTGGTACAAAAATGCGCATAAATATTACAGTATAAATACCAACTACTCAATTACCTATTGTGACTTCACTGAATTGGAGATTTGGTTTGTTGTCAAAACGAAAATATCCATTATGAAGGATAAAATGCAGAATTTTTGTGACAATGTCTATTGCCAGTCCATGCATCTCCAAATTATTCATGTGATTCGTTATGAATAAACACACTGCATTGATGCCATCTGTATAGATAGGTAGAGAACTATGACATCCAATATAAAGAGTATTGTTATGTTTGTCACTAGCGATCCTTGAATCGGGATAGCAGGTCTTGTGCATTTTTCAAGTGTGCTGGACCATAATTTAGTAAATACATTAAAACTGTATGCATATGACAGTCTTTTGTTTTTGTCTCGGTTTTTTTTTAGTGGAATCATTGCAAAGTTTTTCAAGTTCATTCTTGCCTTTTAAGTGATCAAATATATTTTATTTGTAAACGTTTCTGCTCATAACCATGAAACTTTTACATTTGCCAGATTCTTTGATAATGGTGTTATCATCTTTAAGCTTTTTAAGAGTTAACTGTTCTTGGTGATGTAAGTTAGGCTTGGCCTGATAATTTTTATGTCTTTGTAAAACATTCCTGATCTTTTTTTTTCACATCCACTATTTTCTTTTCAATATATTTATTAGCATGGGAAGTTTGCCATTTGTTTGTATCAAAAGGATGTTTATTGAGACATTTGTAAGTTGTACGAGTTGTTACATCTGTAGTTGAACAAATTTTAAGAATGGAATTAATGTCTGAATTTATGTTATCTGTTTCAATGCAGACTGTAGAAGAGGTTGAGTTGATGATACTCTATTGTATACAACAGTTATTTTCGCTGTTGTTCATAGTTAAGGAAGACTTAATTCTTTCTCTATTTTTTACAGAAATTATTCCATTGAATAGAATAAAAGGGTTTGTTCAAGGGAAGACAATGTATTCAAACACACTTAGGTGGAAAGTTTAGTTATTACTGCAAAACCAGGTCCTTTAGCTAGCAGATTCAAAGAAGTCAAGACAATGAATTCATTTTCTACTGTTATTTTTTTATTGTTGACATGTTTTCTTGGTCTTTATTAATATTTGTGATGAAAGTCTTTGGTTTGGTGGTTCATTAATCATATATACTTCTCCATTTCTTACCAATTCTTACATGATATTCTTTCCCTTCCTTACATAAAATTTCTGGTTTAATGTTTATGAGCCAAGTGTAAAAATTGGGAAACTTTTCTTAGGAGATATTTAAAATTATTTGTTTTGTTGAATTAGTCTTAGATGCTTATCTTTCTTTGCAAATAATATTGTTATTAAGTCATTTGTAACAGGAAAGAGAAACCTAATCAACCTTTTCTGTGATTTCTGATTTTCCTTCATATGATCTGGTAATTTGAAATGATTCCAAATACATTTAGGAAGAACCTTATATCAGTGACACTTGAGCTTTAATTCTTGTGAATTTAAGAGTTTATGTTTGGGTTAACTAGGTTGTACTATGGATAACATGGTTGACATTTGAAAACTCATTATTTAATTTTTGTAGTGCATATTGGAGTATAAACAACAAGTAGTAATTTATTGTTTCAACAATAAGCTTTACTACTTAACATGTCAAATGCATGCTGTAGATTCTATTAGAATTTAATATTTCAACCAACTGAAGAGCTTTGTATTGTCAGTTACAGCTGTGTTTTAGTGGAACACTCCTAAAGAAGCTTTAAATCAAAATGTTGAATGTCCAATTAAAGAAAAAAATAATTATTTTGGTGTTAAAATATCTTTTATACTCCAATATGAATTCAAGAAATTAAGTAAGAAGATAGTGACTGTTTTCTTTAAGGTCTTTGAAAACTCATTCTATATTCTCTTTCTTTTAGCATCAAATTCTGTCTTTTCTATATATTGCTTCATTTTTTTATTCTTGTTTATGCTAACTCAATAAGTCCTGAGCAACACCTACTTCATCCAATTTCTTGTCTTTCAAAGTCATTTTAAGCTATTCATTAGCTTCTTCAAATAACTTCTCTATTGATCTTAATTTTCTCCCAATTGTTTGTATTCTTCTGCCACAGATTTTTACTTATTTCTTAGTTTCATTTTTTCCAGGTTTCTGCTAGTTTCTTCAAGTTCCAGTTGCTCATTCTCTTTCTTTTTTATTCTTTTTCCAAACCTTAGCTTGTACATTATGAGCATGCCTACCTCCTTCTAGTAGTCTTTGTTAGAATTATTTCTGAAACTTTGCCCCCACTAACTTTTACTGTATCCTTCAATATTCTAAGCCCATTGAAGGAATTATCTAAGTGTTCTTTCCTTTGTAAACATTTTATTGTTTTCAGACAGGCTTCATTCACCTCCAGTATTTCCAATGGCAAGACACAAAGATGTTTTCACATATTTAGCCAGAATATTATATTATTTAGTTCCATCAGACATTTTGCTTTCTAAAACTTTGTTCCAGTAGTGATATAATCTGCCTTTCTTATCATCCTTCCAGCTTTAAGGGATATCTTTTAAGTGATATATTTCAACTCATCTGTCAACTGTGCAATTTCATACTCCTAAACTACTTAGGCATTTTTAATGTAATGTTCCTGATTTGTTTAGCTTCATTATCTTCTTTCTGCATTAAAGAATGAAGACACCATTTATTCCTCAGCAGGTCATTCTCAAAAGGAAGTTTCTTCTGAAGATACTTCGTCACAGTCTGCAAAAAGTTCCTCATGTTTGCAGTGGCCAGTTTTTAAAGTTTGAGCTTCCCTTACAACAATGATCATGTAGATTCCCTAATTTCCATGACAACTAATTTATCCTGTTCTTCAACAACAACCAACAGAAGTTTCTTTCCATATTATACTGAAACAACACTGCTTTTCAAAAATCTGAGCATAATAAGACATTTTTGAATACTCAATGTGTACTAAGGATCCTCTCTTGTTAAAATATATTAAGAATATATCAGAGATTACAAGCCCATGAGAAAGTGTATTTGTGCCAATGTTGATGGTGTCTTCAGCAGTCAACAGATACGAGGGTACCATTTATTTTTGTCAAGAAGTTTGGTTGTTTTGTTGCTCTGAGCTGTCTTTAGTTGTACTATCAAGAAATATCCAAGTATAGGTTCTCTGTTTTTAAGAATCAGTTGCAATGCAGGCAGTCATGTCAACCATCTTCATTACATGTGTATAAGGAACAATTCTTTGTCAAATCCAACTTACTCTTTCACCTCTTGAAAATCTCTTTGGCAAGGTGATGACTTAAATAAGATCAGATTAATTACTAATTTCTCCATATTTCCACCATACACTTTTAGACCTTCACAAAAGGAATTGTGTACTACATGTATATTACAGGGAATTAAACCTGGCAGGCATGATATTTTTATTTCCTCATTGAACTGCTTCCAAATTTCCTTATTTACATTAGGGCTAACAGATCTGGAAACCACTTTCCTACGATATGTCTATGATTTTCTTGGAAACATCTGTATCCTTTACACGTTAAAACATCAGTTCCCTCAAGAACTTAGCAACTTCTTCTCACTCTGATATGACAAGGAGAGCACACTGTTTTCAAACTTGAGAGGTATTAGTTTCATCTTACTATGGCACAAGGTATTCAGAAAGCAAGTTCTTAAACCATCCAATATAAGGAAAGATGTCTTAGATCTACTCACTGTAAATTTCTTTGCAACAACATTTCCTGGAAACATTTTTCCAAACATTACGAGTACAAGTAATTGTTTAAAAATAACTGTTATCCTCTAAAGAACTTCTGCTTGTGTTACTCTTCGGTATTTTGATCCACAGCTATAAAAGATGTATGCTTGTTTCTTTCTCCTTCTGACACAACTGATGATTTTGCTTTAGCCAACTAGCTAAAAAAATTATTTGTCCATGTGGAGTTTTGCAAGAATATATTTCTACATTCAAATTATAATTAAAAATTTCCAAACATCATCCAAAAACAAACAAACACTTACTTCAATATACAGTGAAATTTCTTTGAAATAGCCCATCAGAAACTAAGAACATGGGATACCTCTGTAATCCAATACGAAACTTACTTCTAGACAAAGCCAGTTTTAAGAAATTTCAACTTACAGGAATATTTCTATTTAATTATTACTTATCACAATAAAAACATGATGTGGAACTATGGGTATTCATTTTTGAAACATGCTGATGGTCAAGCAGAAGATGAGAATTTTGAACATTACAAACCATTTAGCTTCAGTGAATTCACATCGGACTTTAATACTTTTAGGAAAACATTACCTATCATCATCAGCGGAAAAAAATCGGATATGTGATCTAGGTTGATAAAAAAGAGAGGGAAAAAGTGGAAGAGGGACAGGGGGGAGAGGAGCAGTCGTTGTAACCTTGCAAATCAAGGCTGAGCTGGCCAATAGAGAGCAATCAGCAGGACTCGACAAGGAGTGGAGTGGAAGTAGTCGGATGGGTGGGTACACATAAAGATACTTGTGTGATCAATCCTGGCTGAAGGCATCGACTGCCAGAGCCTGTGGATGAGGTACAGGTGAACAGAAGATAGGTAATTTGTTGTTAAGGCCCGTATCAAAGGCATCCACGTGGGGAGAACCCTAGTGATGGCAAGGATTCTTGAAAACAAGGGCATCTAATGTCCATTCCATGGGATATATCCAGTTGGGGCACATAAGATGATCTGTAACTAGATTGAAAGTACCCAGCACATGACATGCAATAAGGTGAGAAATGCAAAAAGCTAGTTGTGTATTGTGTTTTTGTCAGTTCATAGTGCATTTAAATTGTAAAATGATGCATCATAAATATAATTCATGCATATTTGCAAAAGCAAAAATTTTAATTATACACATTAAAAAATTAGATAACTTACTGAAAAAGCAACTGAGACTCAGCTTCTCTCTCTCTTTCTAGCTTTATTTGTTCTTGGATCATTTTCCTCATCATGTCAAGATCTGCTTTGGTTCTTTCTTTCTTAGCCTTTTCTTTTTCCTGTTGCTTAGCTTCTTCTTTAGAGAAATACTCTAACAGTTGTCTATCAAATTGCTAGAAAATAAATAAGCAAAAAGTTAAATTGGTATAGAATCCTCACACAGATTTTTAGTCTTTCAATTTGTAACAACTACTTACTGGCTCAATAATTAAAAAACTAGAAAAGCTCAATCATCACACACACACACTTGTATGTATGTTATTTGTAAAGTGTTATGAGGCCATTCATTACATAGCATTAAGCATATTATCTGAAAAAAAATTAGACATCATTCAACAAGCTTTTTCTGATAAACAAATAAAGCTAAATGTTAAGTTCAAATCCATCCAATGGTATTACACCAGTCAATAACTGTTAAAATTGGTAAAGAGCAATAAATAAAAATTTTAACAAAATTTATAGTTGAAGATAAATTTTTATAAAACACATCATGGTTCCTATAGCAATAATGGTTTTAACATCTCATCAACAAAACACAAAATAATAAAATTTTACATACCAGCTCCTCTTGGACTTCTTGAGCCTTCTTTCTCAATTTGTGTGTCCACTGTTTTGTTAATGCTATTCTAAAATAACATATGATTTCCTGGTTTTCATCTCATTACTAATCATAGTAGTTACAGCAAAAAAACATTTTAAAAGCTCTTATTTTTTGTTTTAAAAAAAATTAAAATTACATTTACATAATATAATCCTTTTACTGATAAAAATTAGCATTTTCCTTGTTTTGATAACCATATGCTCATAGCATCTGTCAATTTATATAGATCTGAAAACAAAAATTCACATGTATATTGTGTATTACATCACATCCAAGTGGGTTTCTTCAATTTATTACAGTATTATATACGAACATTTTCTTTACGCATGCCACAAGTCTTCCGCTCCCCTCTTGTTGGAATTAGTACATTCCAATGTGTATCTTATGCAAATCAACGCTAGGAACCGAAATCCACATGAAGGTAGAATGAGTGTTTCCAATCAAAAGGGGTGAACTATATGTGTGATGGATCAACTCCATGTGGTATGGAATGTGTAACAGGAGGCCAAGTCAACCATTAAGGTGACAGATCAACTCAACTGTATGTGTAAATAAATAGTAGGAGACCACATCAACCAGTTCGGTGCCGGATCAACTCCACAGTAGTGTAAATAGTATAAGGAGGCCACATCAGCTTGTAAAGTGACAGATCAACTCCAGTAGTTGTGGATATTGGTGAATATGTAAATAGTATAAGGAGGCCACATCATCCAGGAAGGTGACAGATCAACTCCTGTGATAGTGTAAATAGTATCAGGAGGCCACATCAACCAGCAAGGGCATGGATCAACTCCTGTGGAGACCAGATCTCATCTGTACTAACAGAACACCACCGCCCTACTCTTGAATGAATGGTTATGACCAACTTTGTTAGTAGCAATGGGAAGAAAGTGATACAAAGCCCGATGAATGGCTATGAGATATAGGACATTGATATGTAAAGATTTTTTGTCTAAAGACCCATGACCCAAGCACTCCAACTCTGAAGGTATGCATCCATAAACAGAGATAAGTCCAGATGAGGAGGAAGAAGTGAGACACCTGCCGATGTGAGTCTTGTCCAACCACCAAAGGAGATCATCTATAAAGAAAGAAGGAAGGGTGATGGGAGCATCCAAAGGATCCAAAGCAAGGTTCCATTGACCACGCAGAGTCCACTGAAGGGAGCGCATGTGTGCACAGCCGAATGGGATTAGTGGTGTCACAGAAAACCGTATCCCACGAAGCAACAGAACCTCATGTGGAGAAAGTGAGGGAGCAGACAGGGTGTGGGAAACTGACAATTCTATAGAAAGGAGTCTGAGAGAAGAAGGTTGGGCCTGACTGAGGTGAATGTTGAAAAAGACACCCAAATGTATAAGGTATTGAGTAGGACTTTTCTAATTTGATCATCCAGCCTACACAAGCAGCTTAGAGAGGGAGCTGACGAGTATGACAGGCCAACTCCTGTTCGGAATGGGCCAGAAGTAGCCAGTTATCCATGTAAAAATGGAAATGCAGCCCTAGGGCATGAAGATGAAGAGGGCACAAAATTGGTGTGCCACCCTTTAATGGACGAACTGAAGATAAGAATGAGACCTTTTTAAGATGGGAATATGCAGATAGGCATTGGAGACATCCATCTTGATCATCCATAGACCTGGAAAAAAAGCCCCCCGAAGATTAAGGTAGGACTCCAAGGTGAAACGTGGGAGATGAACAAAGCGATTGAGGCAAGATAAATTGAAGACAGGCTTCCAGTCCCCGGTCTTTTTGGGAACAACAAACATATGGGAGTAAATGTTCACATGCCATTACCTGGGTACATTGTTTATGCTGCAGCAGAAAAGCCTTGTTTCCACCCTTCCAACATGGCTCAAAAGTCATCACCTAGTGATAGTAAAGTGTCCCCTGCTAAGAAGCCCAGGAAAACAATTAACTTTGGCACTAAACTGTACACTACAGTTAAAAAAAAAAGGCATGTTACACCCTTTAAAAAGGTTATTCAAGGGTGGACCAAAATTTTTCAGGAAAGCATCCCCCCATAATACACATAGAGATTGTGTTGCTTAATGTCATTTCAGACGTACATCCCATTTTCCCGGAACAGATCACAACATATAACAGGGACCCCCTGTAATGTAATACTATGGTAATAATTCAGCAGTTTAAGATCATTGAGAGTGTGGAAAATAGAACATTTTATAGTTACTAATCATTTTATAACTAGTGATTTTCCACATTTGTTGTGTTTCTTTTCCACTTCATAAGCCAAAAGCTCATGTAGTTATCAAAAAATCAATTTTGTTTATCATTTTTAATGTATAATACATTTTCTAACTAATAATAATAAGTTCTATTGTCAACAGGACCTTTCTTTCATACTTCTTCCCTTTCACCAATGTTCTGAATATAAAATAACTAAGTAACACTAAATTAGATATTCAAGGTGTTTAATATTTAGAATACTGTACTCTAAATAACTATCTCTTTTAGGAACATTTACATACCTCATTTTCTTCTTCTCTTGAGCTTTTTCTAGCTCTGTTCTTTTGATTATTATCTCTTCTATCTGCTGTTGTTTCTGCATCAATAGAGATTCTTCTTTTTTTAACATTTGTGTCTAAGAAATCACAAAAAAATATACAGGTATGAAAGAGAGTACTTCGTTTTAAAAATACAGTAACTAATAGTAGTGTGCTTCAGAAAATGTATATAATTCAATTAATAATTAATGTAACTTCAGTTCTTTAATTTCTAGTTTACATATACATTTACTAAGGTTACTGTATGTTACAGCTTTTAATTGGGACAGCACTTTTCTCTCTCTTTCTTTCAAAGCCTCTGAAGTGCCAAAAAATTTATGTTACAGGCACTTGTTATAAATACAGAGCCAGTTTGCTTTATCAAAAAATGCTTTATTTCAGTTTCATTTCATATATTTATAGACAATGCTGAAAAGTATTAAAGCCTATGAACCACTCTCATGGTTACGTTTAAACATAATCTTTCACTTCTCACATATTGATAAACATATCATTAGAACTTACAATGTCTAATCTTGGGAATTATTTGTACATAGTATATTGTATGTTCTTTTAACATATAATTTTTATATCTTTACATTTGTTGCAAACTGATTAGAACACTTACTGATTCGAAAACAATTTTAAAACAGTTGAACATACAAAAAACTATTTCTTCACTGTTATCTGACATAATCCTCTCATTCATGATAGCTTAGTTTATTGTACAAAATAAAAATTTAATGTTTTAAGTTTGTCTAATAATCTATTTACCTGCAACTCTTTGTGTTTAATTTCTTCTATCTGTTTTTTTAAATCCTCAGCCCAGGCTTCAGCTTCTTCCTTTCTCTTTCTTTCTAATTCAGTTGCTTTACTTTCTTCTTCTAGTCTTTTTTGTTCCATCACAGCTAAGAGGAGTCTGTCCTCTGCCATTTCTCTGGCTGTTTGCTACGCATCAATTTGTAATATACTATCAGGGTCTGTATTATTTCAACAAAATAATCATCTTTACCCAAAACAAATAATATCTATTGTAAATCACATCAACAAGGTTGCTTCATGTCATGTATATTCTACACAAGTAAATTTGCACTTCAAGTAGGAAAGACATTTATGAAACTACAACATCTACAAATATAATGTTTTTAAAACCTATGGTAAATTAGGTCAAAGTTGGAAAAATCTTTTGTTCAAAACAATGAAATTGTTTGCAAAAATACTTCCAACAAAGCTTAATTAATTTCATTCATAAACAAAAACATTGCTTTTTCACTGTATTTTACAAGAAAACCTAGAACTGCAAGGCATGGTTTAATGGACTTTCACTTCTCCAAAAAAGTAGGACAAAATCAAGCTCCCACATGTCACTTCAACAACAGCCTACAAGCCTAAAAACTGTCCATCAATCAGTCATTTAACTTTTTCATAAAATGGTTAACATCACATTCACAAAAGAAAAAAAATTTTGTCTCTCAGATTTGGATAGAAGGTTGCCATTTTTAAAAACATAAAATAAAAACCAAGCACCTTTTGACAGCAACCAAACATTTTTATGTATTATCATTCATGTTGTCCTATCAAACATCTAACAATATTAGCTTCAGAGTTATGAAAGTCTATATAAACTAATTATGTAAGCTTTACACAAGAACTGTAAAGTTCTTTAACTTGTATAATATAATTTACCATACTAGACTTATTATGTTTATGTTTCAACATTATCACTTGTTTTCATCTTTCTCAGTATCTCTAATATGTTGGATTATTATATTATGGGGCTTCCACACTGTAGACCAAAATGTGAATTATCTAGCAGCAATCAACACTGTGAAAACATTTCTCCGCAACATATCAATAATGTTTCTTGATAAAATAAAAGTTACATTTTTTCCTAATATGGTTCACTGATATCATGGTGAAATGTCAAAATACTTAGTTGTGCTCTGATCAGTAATACCATATTCCATTACTTGAGAATGGCAGCCACTGTTAGTCTTGCACATTTCTAGTTAGTCTGTTATATATAATTAGGAACATTATTTCTTAAGTTGTTATTATTGTGATCTATGCAGTTAGCTTGTTTTGATATTTTGTTTTTGTAATGTCTAAAGCCTTAAATATAAAGATACCCAGGAATAAATATGATGAGTAAACACATCAGAAAGTTTATCATACTCATTTCCGTCTTCAAACCTTGTATTTTTGTATTTGCCAACAGAAAGGAAAATTAATTCAGTTTTACAAATTGATTTTCACATAAAGATACATTAGGAGAAAAATAGTTATTTACATTAAGTATATGGAATGAGGGGAAGAAAACTGTGTTGGAAAATACAAATGGAAGTGTAATAAATTGGTCACTTTAGAAGCTCCTACATAAGTAAGGTACCTTCTTTACTATAGCTCTAATCTAAGTAACTGATGAAAAAATGATCCAATGTCACTCTTAGCAGTCCATTATTAAGAAAGAAGGTAATTTCAAATTTGTCCTATAAACACCAAAAAAAGGCTTTTTTACACCTAATACCCTGAAATAGCTTGCATGAATAGTAACACCCAAGTAAACAATGAAAGATGACCAATTTACATATCTTAAGGAAAAGTTGTATTTCACTACCTCTTAATTAAAATTTAACATTCACATTATAAAAACAAGTGGTCACCTGAATCCAAAATAATGTAGCTGATAAAATTCTTAATAGAAAAATCTTACAGTTTTAATCAACTTCAAACTTGATGATTTTGTTCACAATGAAAGAATTCTTTTTTTGTTACATTAATCTGATAATTTTAAGAAGTTAACACTTTTCTTACCTGAAAATGTATTTCAAATAGATACTCATCTGTCTGCACCACAAAAAACTATTATTTTGTGTGTACTGCGGTGTAATTTCATGTGCAGGTAATAAGCCTTGAGCAAAGTTTCCACTTCTACACATGTAAATGTGTATTACACCAGCCTATGATTTAAACATCATTAGGCTAAAGCCTTCTACCAGCATCCTCCATACACAGTAATCCCAATAAGCACTAGTAAGTGAACACAGGCTCATTACTGATGAAGAAAACTAAAAGCACTGGAACTGAGAGGCAAGGTGGGAGGTGGTACAGACAATTGAACATCTGAAATACATTTGAGGTATGGAAAAACTTCAGAAATGATACTTACCTCTCTGCACCATGAAGAGCTAGTGTCCCACACTGAAGATGGTGGATGTTCGCATAATCTGATTGAAAATGTAAGGTGCCATGGCTAACCCAAAGAGAAGTGCCCAAAACTGAAAAACCTGATTGTTGTGAACAAAACAATGGAAAACAAACAAATCAGGATGTGAAGAAATGCATCAGAACAATCAACTTTAGTTCTCCATAACCCTTTGCAGATTAAGAAAAATGACCCATCTTGAATCAAAGAGCATTGAGAAAAAGGTTCAAGGTAGATAAATCAATGACAGACTGCCAATACTTGGCGTTCTTTGGGGCAGCAAAAGGATGGAAATAAAAACCCTGAGTAGGGTGGAGAACCCACTCTATAACTTACATAGTAAGTAAAGAAGATACAGTCTTCTGGAAATGCTAAAGATGCACAGGATTGGAGGGAGGTGGAAAAACGACTAGACAAGGGGAAAAAACAAAAGAGGAGCAGAAGTACAAAAACACAGAGACAGACTACAAGAAAGCACCTGCATGACCCCAAGTCCACAGGTGTGCAAACAAGGAAAGCCAAGCTCCCACAGAACCTGAGCTGAGAGGTAGCATACAAGATCAGTCATCTCTGTGAACTGAGACAGCCAGTCCTCCAAGAGGAGGGATGGTAAGAATGGGCAATTGGATGATAACAGGAGAAGGGCAACACTATGCAACTCCCAAGGACAGAGAAGCTGTTAGGACACCCATGATCTGGTAAGGCAGAAATGAAAATAAACCAGGGAAGACTGATGGCAAGCAGCTTCAGTCTGAAATTCCAAAGAATTGGGAACACCTCGAAAGACTTGGTCAAAAAAGAAAAGGAACGAGAAGGAGGTTATGCAGATAAGAGGAGGAGAGGTGCACACCTGAAAGAAAGGAATCCTGACCAAGCAAATCCCAAAAACAAAGAAATCACATTAACAAAGATACAGCAATAAAAAGAAATTGAGACCAATGTAGCAAAAAAGTAGGAATGAGTATCTTCATCAAAACTGTCTAGGTCACAGTGAAGAACCTCAAAAGAAGGTAAAGCATAGATAAATGATTACTGATTGTCAGTAAGAGTTAAAATAGGAGAAAAGCCACCCAAGGAGGAATGAGACACTCTAGGGATTGAAGTTCAAGTAAGACAGAAGTATCAGGACCATAGGCCACAAAAAGTCAAGAATGCAAGCAGGTAAAGGCTGATGTGAATCAACTTGTAGTTCAAACAGAAAAGCATTAGCATGAACAGAAACATCTGGAGAGTTGGGGAAGAAAAAGACAGAAGATGGAGACTCATGAAGCAAAAAACTCTATTCATGAAAAACTTCAGGAAAACACAGAAATAATATGAGGAATCATGGTCGAAAACAGCCCACAAATAAAGAAAGGTTGGCTTTTGTTCTAAGTTATAAGGTGTTTAATTAAATGATGATACTCAAACTCCAACAAAAAAAAGAACTCTAAGGCAAATTAAATAAGTGAGATAAAGAAAAGAAACTCAATGTAAAAGGTAATAGACTAAGTGTCAATCAGACAAAATTTGAAAGAAGCACAAGAAAAAACACATCAGAACACTAACAGTGCTCAGGAAAGAATGAATGTGTTTACATGCTAGTGCTAATATGGATTACTATCCATGAAGGTTGTTCATGCTCTTACTGGTGGATAGCTATAATCAAATGGCTGGTAAATAAACATTGACACTTGTAGTGGTGGTAACTTTGTTAAAGGCTTGTGGCATGTGCAGGAAATTACATGATAGTGCGTATGAAATACAGCTCTTCATGGTACAGAGGGGTGAGTAACATTTTTGAAGCAAAATTGTATACATAAGTTCAACGCTTTTTCTTCATTTCTGTAGTTTTTCTGATTTTTCATAACACTGAAATGAAATTTTATGCCTACAAATAATAAAAGTATATTATCTGATAGATTATTTAGGCAGAGTATTCATTATGAAACTTAGTTAAATGGACAGCAACTTGTGTTTCTATTACAGGCAGTTGCCATCCATTCAACTAAGTTTCATTCAATAAAAGTAATTCCATGTCACTTACTTATTTCATAGATGTTATAAAATCCTAAGATCAATGAACGTACAAAACATATTGTTTTTTGGTATAATTCCTAGCTAGTTTTATTAGCCCAATATGATGCCCTAAGGCAAAGTAGTCACATAGGTATTTGTGGTTTGACTGTCATTCATAATTTAAACTGTTATTATTTGTTAATTCTAACTGAAGGTTTTAGCATGTCTTCTGGTAGAAGTTAAAATATAATTATTAATGATCACTTTTTCTGATGCTTCTTATATCAGTACTTTATTGTTTCGATCTGACTGATGTTACAGGGATTATTGATATGTGCTTTGAGAGCATTAATACTGCTATGAAAATCTTAAAATAAATTGTGTCTGACATGATCATTTTTTGGAGATGTTTCATTAAAGATTTTAACAAACCAACTTGAAAATACTATTGTCTTAGTATTTAAAAATAGTAAATAGTTATTTTGTTCAAAGTTTAGTCAACATGCAAAGAGGAATGATCCCAACATAATTATTGGCTCGAGCTGACAACTACTAAAAATGCTTAAACAAAAATGGTTTAATAAAAATAATTAAAAATTATATAAATTTTTGATACTTTAATTCTCTTACAGACAAGTCTTTATTTCGCAAATTTTCTTAGTAGTCACCAAAACATACTTTGCAAAAATGTGGTCAGAAAAAAGGAGGAAATATTTTAAGATAGGGTAAGAATGATTTTATAGAAAACAGGTATGAAGTAGAACAATAGTATGACTTTACATAACAAGCAGTTTTTAGGGTTCACTCATGATTAAATTCTTGAAACTTATGTACATTATATTTACTTTGTGACTGCTTGTTTTTACACATTTCTGTCTTTACCTCAGAAATGTACTTAGGATTGCCAGCATTGTATAACTGTTTGCTGATAACTGCCATAAAACATTTTAACTAGCATGATATTTTAGGTCATGTTACAACTAAAAAACTAAAAAGTGTAACCTAGGGTGGAGAAGTCCATCCTGGAACATATGACTCTCTATTCTGATAGTTAAGTTTTTTTCTTGTCTAAAAAAATTTATGTAAGTTACTGTAAAGGCTTTCCTTCATCACATAGTACAATCATAAGAACATACATGTTCTCATCACTGGGAAAAATTAGCCCTATAATATCATATCACTATCCAGCTGTATTTTTCTCTATTTCTTTAGTCTTACAACATACCAATAAATGCATAGGCTTTACCTCCTTTGTCTCTGACACATAATAATACTACAGATTAAATAACATATTAACAAGATGTTGAGAAACTTAAAACATGTGTTAAATACCCCCCCCCTCCAAATAAACTAATGTATTAAATAATGTTTTTGAATAACTAGGGTGTCACAAAAAAAAACAAGAAAGAAAGTATGGCTATTAGTAGGCCTGTCATGATAAGTCTACTCCTTTAAAAATAACTGTAACTACGGAAATTGTTAAACTATGTTAAAATTATGTCTATCACAACTAACTTGTGTTCAAGAAATTTATAAAGCACTGAGGATAAAAATGGAGTTTATTTTCTAAAAGAAAATCACTCACATCTGACACAACAATAAATAAGCCAAATCCTCAATAACTCAAATAAACACTGAGTTATTGTGAAATTTTGATCATATTAGTTACAAAAACCTAAAATATTTTTTTAACTTTATTAGGATCTGTAGAAATTTTCAATAATTATAATGTTTGCCTCTTCGTTCAAACTAAAATAATTGTTAAAATTATACATGTATGTACATAACTTAAAACATGTACAATTATGTACATATTTCTTTGTTTATCAAACATTAACAGAATATTCAATGTTTGATAAACAAAATATTAACAAAAGTCTAATTACAGTAACCAAACTTTATTAGTAACATAATGTTTCTAATGTTGTAATTTTTATGTTAGATAGAGGGAGTGGTGGGTCAATGAAGATGTAAGATTAAGAGACTTTTCAAAAAACCTGGAACAAAAATTAGATATAAATACGGGTGAGTCAGTCAATTAGGTAAGTAAGCTTGCAGTGAATTAGTAAAGCATTGAGTCAGTGTCTTCAGTGAAATATTTTAATTTGTGATAATTATCTGTGATAGTTATTTAGTTACTTGATCATTCAGCTGTGAAACTGTTCAATTTTACATTAATGTAGTACAGTTAGTATGACAGTTCCATTGGAAAGTTATTTGTAAACATACATCTACAAGTTACAAAGTATAAGTCTGTAGAAATGATAAGGAAGAAATAAACTGATTCAACATCATTAAATGGACTGAATTTCAAATCATTTTCACCAGATAATTTAAAAGAACCCTTAGATGAAAGAACAACATTACAAAATTATATATCTGTATCCTGTACTTCATATTAATAATAATTGCAATTTTACCTCTTCTTTTTCTTTTAGTTGATTTCCCCAACTCTGGATTACATTCTTTTCTAGATGATCAGACAGCAACTAAGAAGAAGTAATGCATTATTTTTTATATTGCTGCACTTTAACTCTCTCATTACAGAATCGATCGCAGAGACTAGCCTCGTAACAATTTTGTGCTTGTAACTGTTTTCATATTATAACTTTTACTACAGTAGGCATACCTTCACAAAATTTTGCAGATTATCAGTAACCATAACAAGGATTTTGTACACAAAATATCAGATGTTTTTGGTAAGTTTTAAGATTTTTCAAGTAATGATTTCCTCGTGCATTTTTTCTTTTCAAATGTTGACTTTGATTTTGAGATTAAAAATACTTTTATGCATCAGAACATTATCAGCTTTCACATACAAAATCTTTATAACCTCCTAATGGTCTTCAGATAATTATCAAACATTTTTTTGGAAAAACTTTATATCTTCTCTGTTATTTTCACTATTGCATCTCTGTATGGGTTTGGTCGATTTGAATCGACCTCATAACCATTATAAAAAAATTAAGAAATAGATATAAATTAAGCTTTTTTCATTCTAGAATGACTACACATTATAACACTAAACCACAAATGTTTAATTGAAATAGCTTAAATCTCATAACATTATATATCTATGTATATTTATCATTTATTATTCTTATTTTATTGACCTTTCAGTCATGTCTGACTAACAATACAGAAGTTGCAATGACACAACACATGTGCACTCATGTTACCCTTCCAATAATATAAAACTGGCCTTCACAAAGTGACCTGTCTTGGCTTTGTTCTAATGCATCAGTATTTTGTAAAATAAAGTCACATTTCAGTTATAAAACATTACCTATGTATATCTATTATTACTATTTACAAACAAGCTCTTATATTTCAGTTATTTTCCTTAAAACATAGAAAAGTAAATAAAGAAGTATATAAAACAATGATCTCTTCTACTTACAAACTTTGTACTCACTTGCCACTTGCCAAAATTTACTAAGCCTTGTCAAATTTCATACATGGAAAGGATTTAAAACAAAATCATTTTTTGGTTTTATATTTGCATTTTGAAATAACAAAGAATAATAAATTACTATATCAATATCACAGAAATCCACTATAGTTTGTCAGGCTTAGTAACTAAGCTGTATTTGGGTCTATAAAATATGATAATTCGAGCTCCATTTTCCACTACTTTTCTGCTTCGATTCTACCATGAAAAGGAAGGTTTTCCCATATAAACACTTTGCAGAGGCTGAGAAAACTATGTGGGGGACATTCTGTGCTTTTGATTGGTTATAAAGACATGAGAGAACAAAGCAGGTGTATGTAAGGAAGTATTTCCAAAAATAGAAGAAGTGGACAGGGCCACTTTGTTTAATTTGCTAAATATAGTGATATCTCAGCAAACAGAAAACATAGGAGGTTAATATTTTATATTCTAGCTTGTCAATACTGGTAATTTGAGTTTCTAATTTGTAAGAAACTATAGACTTTGGACATCACAAACATCTAATTTGAAACTAACATACCATGTGACACACAAAAATCAATATTTAGGTTTTTTTTTAATATTTACTTTTAAATTAAGAAATTAACTAATGTAACTATAATCTATAGTTTGATACCAAACTTACTGACATACATTCCTAAAATAGTAGTTCAATAAAAGTTTGAATGTAAATCTACAAACGTGATGACATGCCCTTTGACCCCTGACTAAAGGAAGAACTGCCAAGAAAGGGTTGATTCTTCTTAAGAGAAGTAAAAAACAATAAATCTATGTAGAAATCACAAAAAATTGGCTAAAGAAGTAGACAAACAAAATTTCTAAGATTTTGTTTTATAAAATTTAATAAATGAGTTTTATTTACCTGTCTTGCTTCAGGATTTGTTTGCTGCCAATGTTGATACAATTTTATCTCTTTCGTCTATCAAGCAAAAGAGTATATAATAATTAATGTTTATCCATAAATTGCAATGAATTAAACAAAATACAGTAAGAATTAGGAAAATACTAATGTTATATTGTTAACAAATTCTTTAACTTTCAACACAGGTCAAGAGAAACACTTCTAAAATATGTAATTAAATAACACACTCCTCTGGAGTACATCAGCAAATAACTCTTCCAAAAGTAAAAAAAATTAGTTATTGAAGCAGTTATAAATACGTTGTAATGTTATTCTTAATTATCATAACAAATCACTTTCATATGTTAACATATAAAAATTCTACAATCTATCTTACATCATGTATAATGATGCATTACTCACTACTACGATTGGAACCAGTCTTAGATTACTTTCTAACAGAATCTACCAATGAACTTTGTGTTTATTAGTGTCTGTCTATATTACGTGTTACTTCTTGAACATTATAATCCTCTCCTTTTTTTTCACAAAATTAAAGAGACTATAGAATATTACTGGTTTTATATTTTAACAAAAATTATATTTAGAACTTAAGACAAAACTTAAGAATGAATAGAAATATAAAATAATTTCATTTACAAATAAATGATGAACATTATTATTTTTCTACACTGACAATATATTTCCAATAGGTACTTACCTCTCTTCTCACATAATAGCTTTTCTTGTTCAATGCTGCCCTCTACATGCAAATTTTTTTTTACTCGTACTAGCCTTAAAACTCCCATCTACCCCATGATCAATGTGGTTTACTGCATCTTTGCATGTGAATTATCATGTGACAACCCTTCACAAATAGAAGAGCAACATTCTCTCATGATGCAGGTTACTCCCTTTATTTGATTTCACCTAGCAATCACTTCAAGATTAGGTAGAATTTAAGCACTGGTAATGTTAGCGGGGCTAATTACTTGTCAGAAATATATTTTTAGTGTAGGAAAATATTAACTTCCAACATGATACCTTACATTAATTAAGCTAGAATCCCACATTAGAAAGGTGGAGAGACTAGTGCATCCAAAACACACCCATGGAGAGTGATCTTCACTGGGAGAGGAGCACCTGTGAGAAACCACACCATTTCCATACCAGGTATACTCGTTGTCCGGTGTGGTAGTAAATGTTGCATAATCAGGTAGAAATCATGAAGGGCACATCTCTGAAAGGCTAAAAAAGATGGTTGATCCGGCCCCACATCCCATGGAAATCTCCAGAAAACATAAACCCGGAATGCATGTTGGATCCCAAACCACAGAAATAATGGTGGGAAAAGCTAAAACAGATGTGTCCTATTGTGTAGAATGGTTAGGGCACCTTAGGCCATACCCAGCAGGTCAACTCTACTACGAAACCAGATGGCATCAGATATCGTGATACGAAGAGGATCCACACCATTTTCACCTTAAGTTTAGGAGACAAAAGAGAGAAATTTCATACTGTCTGACTAAATAAAGGCACATGTGTGCAAATCCCCGACCAACACCAGCCACACTGGAACTCAACATCCGCACAATGGTAGGAAAAGATGTGATGGTTCACTCAAAATCCAAGACCAATCGGACTGGTTTCACCTTGCACAACATCATCCTCCGGGTTTGAACCTCACAAAGATGGAATACAAGGAGAGTACATGACTGTTTTATTTAACTTTAATAAGAGAATTATCATTTAGATAGTAATAAAGCACAAGTGTTAAATTTAATATTTTTAGAATCAATAATTTATCGCAGGTTTGCTTATGTAACTGTTTACGATTCATTTGTTGTATAGTTCAGTTTGCTTATGTAACTGTTTACGATTCATTTGTTGTATAGTTCAATAGTTGTGAATTGACATCATGTTACTCAAATCTTCTGAATTTTTCTCTTTGCTTTAAGTGAGTATTGTTACATCCTAACATCTCATAGTTTGTAGAAAGTTCTAGGCCTCAGTCGGGCAGTATATACATAGGTGACCAAGTTAGTGCAATTAACTTAGTGAAAAAAGTGAAGTTAATCCATGGTAGGAGGGGTGAACTGCAATTTGATGGATCTACTCGTGATAAACTGTATGATTCTGGTGGAGGATCTACATCATTTACATCTGCAGAAGACCACTGCCCAACTCTCAACTGAATGGAATTGAGCACATTCAAGAGGCAGCTTCATGTCTAGGTACTGGGAAGTGGTAAGGACTCCCTTTCTCCACTAGAAGAAGGGGGGATGCACTGGGAATGCTCTCACCAGAGACAGTGCAATGGGTGACCATGAAGTCATTACTTTGAAAAGTACTACCCCCCCCCCTCCAATTTATTCAATCAAAGGGACAGCAGGGATAGGCAGCTATCCCCTTCTGCTTTACTCATGATAGTCCATGAGTCAGTACAGTCTGGAACAGGCATATTTATGAAGCAAAGCACCACAAGGAAACCCCACAAGTGGTCTTGTGGAACACTCAATCTCAATAGTGTGTGTATATACAGTACTGTGCAAAAGTGTTAGGACAAAGTGTGGGTCATTGCATCATTTGAATGACTCCAGCAGCTTCTTTCTTAGCTAAGTAATTTCTGCATAGGTTGGATAAGTGTTTGGGGTGATTATCTTCTTGGTAGTAGAATCCTTTACCAATAATATGCAAACCACTGGATATACTATGATGGATCAGTATTTGATGGTACTTTTGCTGGTCCATTATTCCATCTATTTTACAAATATCTTCTGTTGCCTCAGCAGAAAAACACTCTAAACTATCACACTGCTTTCCCCATGCTTCATGGTAGGTAATTTGCATTGAGGTAAGTATCTTTCACCTTTCTTCCGCTAAATGTACAACCTACGCTTTGAACCAAATATTTCAAAGTTCAAAGGGCAATGTGACACTTCCCATATTATCAAGAAATATTTGGTAGCGAGACCTTCATCTGTGTCTTACAATAATCACTCGATATATCAAGTAAGTTGCAGCAGCAACTCACTAGAAACATAGCTAGGACAGATAAGGTTGTTAAATAATATCCTAGGAAATTGATGGTTAGTTCTGATTGTTGTGGCAAAAGCTGCCAGTCATTTGTGTGCAGAAACTTCCAGCACAAATATATAATCTAGTGCGTAAGCCAACATAATATTTTGTTCTATGATCATGTGAGATTGCACCTGTTTGTCTGGTAGACTTGTACCAGTCTTCATTAAGTGCAGCAAGGGAACTGTGCTCTAACAATCCATGAGAAATTTACATGGACTGCATAAAGCAAGTAAATGCATATCATTTGTTAGGTTTTTTGTCCGAGTTATTTTAAAAGTTCATATAACAGGTTTTCAAGACTTCTAAATGGCAGTTATAATGTAGAAAGCATAGTAATCTAGACTAACTGCTGTGTTATAACGATGAAAATGTGTGTCTGTGCACGGGCTTGTGCAAACACATTTTCCCTTATGTATGAAAGAGTTTGTGCATATTTAAATTATGTACACACATGTTGTTAACAAGAATACAATTTTTCAGGAAAATGATGAATTTAGCTTGAATACAGATAACTATATTTGGTAAAGGTCACACTGATTAACTTAGACTGTACTGAGAAAGAAACATGGTGGTTTACTTGTTTACTTTTCCTTAATTCTGGTAATGAATGTTTTCAGTTTGCTCTTGAATGAAATATTCTTACAAGTATAATTTTCCACTGAGAGGGGCAGCCAATCAGCATTGTGATCCATATAGCTAAACAAAGCAGTCTAAATTAAACAACCAAAGTATAGATTGAAAATTGTTTTAAAATCTTTCCAACTAGTATCACTTTACTTGTTTGTGTACTTTTTATTGCAGCATTTATTTTGTTTTGGATACTTCTACAAATAACCTATGATCCCTACTTTCCGTTTAATTTTTATTTATTTTTTTCCCATTTAATTGTTCAGTTTTTATATGTCTGTAAACTTTCACTACAGCCATATCTCTGATAGCTATAACTTTTAGAAGAATTAAAACCACAATCACAAATTTATAAAATGTAATCCTTACTTTGGCCTACAGATAAGTGTAAAAAGCTGCCAAAGTAGGGATTAAATTTTATGAATTTGTGATTGTGGTTTTAATTCTTGTTTCATTATTTTTTGTAGCAGGATACCTACTTCATTTTAAAATTTAAAATTTGTTTGTTTACTTTTTATGTTATACCTGCATAAAGTATATACTTTTACCTTTAGAAACTGTCATGTGTCTATCCATTGATATGTAGCGCCATCTGTTGGGTTAAATTGGGGTTGAAAGATATTTAAGTACGTGCACGATATGTTTACCATTTATAAAAAATCTGTATATATTTATCAGAAGATCAAAACCAGATACCCACAGACCAGTCAAGTAAGCTGGAGAAATCTTGTAGCAATAGTCTGAGCTGTTTTTGGGCTAGCCCCACTGATGTGATGAGGTAGGTAGGAAGGTAGTAGATGAAAAAGTTTGTGTCTAGAAATTTCTGAATTGTTATACAGAAATGTTAGTGAGCTTTTTAGCATATTATTAGCAAATCTGATCATAATATATCATAATCCACAATTTGAATGGTCAGTTTTTTGCTTGGGAATTTAATAGGGTGGTTTTTGGCACATGAATTATTTGGAAACCTTGTCGATCTCTACTATTAAGTACAAAAGTACTTAATAATACTACAAATTAATTTCTAACAATATTTTGGAAATTATTACTCACAAGTAAACCTCCAATCAACTGCACTGGTTTTATTCATTCTTAAGGTTATATCTTTAAAAAATCAACAACAAATAATTTACTTGAAGTTGTTCTAACTTTCGCTGTTGTTTCATTTCTTCCAGTTTTTGTCTTAGCGCATTTACATTCCAAGGATCTTGAAGATGTTCTCGTTTTTTCTTTTCTTCTAGTTCAGTCTATAAAAAATTTAACATATTTCACAACAGATTGTGTGCACCATCTTTTCTATGAACAGAATACTTTTCTTGTACATTATTGCATTATAAAACTAAGCTCCTAATTTGAATATTTTATTCTCCATGCACTCATTAAGAACTGCAGCTCTAACATTCATTACATGAAAATGAGAGAAAAAAATAGATTTTGACAACCAGTTAAATCTAAATTATTTGTAGGATATCGAAAGCCCCTGATGAAGCTGTAATAATGAAATATTGAGCTAATAAAGTTACATTCTGGAGATATAGGAGGTGATTTTATTTACATTTATAGAAATGTCTCATAATAAACTACAGTTTGCATTAAAAAAGTTAATAATAATATCTGCTATAGCTTTATCCATACCTCTTTCTACTGGAAACACAACTTAGTGGATATTTCTTCTGCAAACCTCTTATACAACATTTTTGAAGTGCTTCTGAATTACAACCTTATTATTGTGAATATGTTTTGTTTAGTTTCCTTACTTATAAAACTAAAAGTTATGCACTTTCTTTGTTATTATAATGTGGAAATTTTGAAAACTACATATTACAGAGCTGAATACCACAAAGTATGAAATACTCTCAAAAATATAAATCAACAAATGCTGGACATTTGGATTTTATATTCTGTTTTTGTATGTGCTAACTTGAAAACTTTTATGATAATAAATAAATCAAGAAGTCTCATGATAATCTTTTATGCATACCTCAAGTTGTTCATTTTTTCCTTTCAGAAAAGCAGCAAGTCTTGTCCTCCGTTCTTCTAATTTTTTCTTCCTTTCTTCCTGGTTCTGTTCTTCCACAAGTGATTCCTTATTACCAAGGTACTGACTAAAATAGAAATGAATTAATGGGTATTATATGCCTAATAAAACACATGACATAAGAGAAGAAAAATATCAGACTTTTAACTCACCTATTAGCAGTACCAGGTCTTGAAGATTCCAGATTATGATACTGAGTTGACATTGTGTCCAGATCTTTAAAGTACTGAGCAGCCACATCCCAGGTCTGGTACCTCTGAGCTTGTTGCTCTCTCCTTTGAACAATGGTCCTTTCAATAAGGTCCTTTCTTTTTTTGCTTATCCAATATGAATTGAGTGATGGTAAAGCCATATCCAAAAAATGTTAATTCAGGGAGAGGTGGCAGAAGTGTACAAATTTTACTGCAAATACAAAATTATATGTTTGCTTTTTTATTTACTGTACATGCAATTTGAATACTGTACTTAAAACATAAATTTACAGGAACTATAGTAACACAAAATTAACTAAATCACCGTTCTGATTTCACAGTATAAAATTATGGTAAATATTAAAAATTTTGAATAAGAAAATGTAACTAAAGCTCATAAAAACCTTTGGACAGTCTAGATTACAAAATTTTTTATTCCATGTCTACATTTCTCATATTTAGTTATTGAATAGAAAAAATTTAATGATTATTTACTTACTCGAAATTGTAAATTTTTTGGGTTTTAGTAAAAAAATTAAGGCCTTAAAAAAAAGTATTTTTTATCTTTTTCAGTCAGCACTTGAATACTGGTTGTTGGTGCTTAATATAATTAATCATAGATGTATCCGAAGTCAGACAAATCAAACAATTAACTTTTAGGTAATGTGATTGACATATTCAAGCTTATTATGAGTCTAAGAGAGAGAATAGTTGTGAGTATATGCAGTTCTAGAATTAGAGGATTGGCAGAAAAAATTGAGAACTTCATATCAGATGTGTAATGAAATAAGTACAAAAAATTTGGGATAACAATATAAGTTGCATATAAGAGGGATTACACCTTCACATCAAGTTTTGGTGTGGTTTCTTTAGTGAATGGTTTCTACTCAAAATTTAAATAATTTAGTTGTTTTTTTTTTGTTAAGTCAAGTGATTTAGGTTTGTTTACAATGATTATTCTTGTTTTGGTGTTATAATCTAACAATATACATATGAAAATAATACACCTACTCACCTAAAAAATTGATATTTTTTATATTATACAAGATCGGGGTAACAAGCCTATTCCAGCATGTAATAATATTAATAGGATCATGAAAACATGATTAATACTGGAGTTGAAACTCAGCTCATATGAACTTACAAATGAGTTATTATAGTTTGGATCACATTTAATATAGATCAGAAGCCGCTGAAGGAATGGATCTTGGCAATAACATTGGATAAGTCACACAAACCATCAAAGTAGTGCTCTGTTGCTTGAAGTTGGTAGAATTTTAGTTTATTTATTGATACACTGACAATTATATCTATAGAAAACACTGATTATGCCTTAGTTAGAAACAAGATATTGTTTTGGTCTCCTTATCTAAGAAAAGATACTGACTTGATTAAAGTTGTTCAGTGGAGAACTATTACAATGATTCTTGGGATGAAAGAATTATCTTACAGGGAATCGGTTAAGATTTTTTTAATTTCGTTTGAAAAGATTATCAGGATTGATCTCTGAGTTTTATTTCTACCTCAAACAATTACAGTAAGTGAATAACACAAGATAACTTCGTTATTACCATAACAACTGAAGAGAGACAAATTTCTACATCATAAGAACAAAGACAGCGGCCTACGCATTAACGCCAATAATTAGTAATTAGTCAGCTAGTATAATAAGTTAGCAAACAACGACTTACAAGTTACAAGCATAATAAAGTGATTTATTATCGGGGGAACGTAGTAGTAGTACTACGTTTCGACAGAAGATAGACTAATGTTCTCAAATTCGATGACGAGGAACCCACTTTGAGACTAATAATAGCTGGAGACGGCTTGAATGGGTAATGAAGAAAAACTTTGATATATGTTTAACCTAACAGCAAATGTACAACGTTTCGACAAGGTTTTGTCAGGTACCTGATGATGACAAACCTTGTCGAAACGTTGT